CACAACAGTGTGAATTCCTCAAGGAGGTGCCAGTCTCATCCTCTTGTTCCTCCCACACGGTTCTGACGAGCTAAGAAAATGTTTATCTCCCTGAGCTTGGCTTTCATAATTCCATTCCATCACAATACTTCCAGTTTTACCTCCAGGTGCAAAAAACAGCTTCCAAGATCAAAAGAAATTGGTCATCCCTGATCTAAAGAAACTGGAATACTTATTCTATTTTCACTTGATACATGTAAATACATATTTGCCTAAGGTGGTTCTACCCCTAGTAAAGGAAAACCAGCCTCATGAAATGGATTTCATTGCCTTGCATTCTCCGTCCAAGAATTTTACAATATGTTTATCTTAATCTTAGCAGATATATGGCTGAGAAGGTCCTGTCCAATATATCCATTTTGTTTTTCAAGACTCGCTTTAGGGGGAAAAAATGAAGAAACACCATGAGCAGATGTTTCAACCAGGTCTCCTAGTCACTGATTCTGCCTCCCCTTCCCCAAAAGTGCTTTGTGTACACAGTCAAAATCCAGCAGTCTACAGAATTGTATGGCTTATGGAAAAAGTGCTAATTTACAGGTTCATTTGACCTCCTCATTTTGAGACTTGCAGGAGCAGGCATAACTTTTCCCACTTTCTGTAGTAAAGATGGTCCAACTCCTCTGCCCTCACCTTTTCCTCCTGGGAGAGGCTCCTCTGGCTTGGTGATCTGACCAGCTGTAGAGCAGCCTCAAAGTCTCTGCTTTGGTAGAGATTCTGAATGGCCTTGGTCACAGAGGACTGGCCAACGGAGAAAGACTCTGTTGTGGACTGTCGGCCACCCATGTCCCGTGTATCTGCACACAAAGGGTAAAAGGAAGACTGGTGTTCTACCTTTTTACAGGAATGACAATAAAACGGACGATAGGTAAGAACAGATAAGTAGAGTAACAAGTAAAACAAGGTACAGCTGCTGAATGGGGGTTAGCAATTGTGTTAAATAAATAAATAGGGTGACATTTCCTTTGTCCAGCTTGACTACTTCCAGTAGTTTTCTCAGCAGCAAGAGGGAAATAGTTTGGCATTTCCTTTTTCTGGGATGATCTCTGATTTCCTAATCTAGTTTATAGCCTTGGGATTTCTTAGCTGACTCCCACCCAAGTACTAACCAGACCTGACCCCACTTAGCTTCCAAGCCCAAACAAGGATGTCCAGGTCCGGTCACCTGCTATAAAAGAAAAAAAAAAGTAGATGATCCTTTGGCATAACCAAATGACCATGGTCCCAGGGAAGTGTGTGTTGCTTCACCATGCAGGCTAGGAGAGTTAATAAAATTTGCATGTTTTATATCCTGTCTGCCAACTTTCGTTCTGCCTTGAATCTAAAACCAAACCAAACCAAAAACGAACAATAAAAAAACCCTAACTAATCAGCATTAATCTGGCACATAACAGGGAAAAGTGGAAAGTCCTTCCAAGGCACTGCCTGAGTATGTGTGTACTTTTGAAACAAAAGGAACGAAACAACTTCCTATTTCTGCTAATGGTACTTTCCATGGGGTGATTCCAAACGAAACAAAGGCAGCCCTTCAAGGTAGACAAGGTCAGGAAACAAGAGTCTCTAGGAGTCTTAGAAAGGACTTTAATGCAGTTAGGGTATTGTAACAGAATCTTGAAAGCCTGTCAAAACCCCTCCCTACTTCAACTTATATCTAATCCAATCAAGGGGGAGTCGTCTTGAGTTTCTTTCTCACACTTTCTACTCTCCTAGGACTTAGGTCCTTCTTTCATTCCATGTTCTTCTGATGTTCCATCCTACCCTGTGCCGTTTTCAAAATCAGGTAGCATCATGTTTGGTGGGTGAAGGCAACCCTTGTCTCTTACTTCAAAATATCCCCGTAATTGTTCTTAACATGCTGTATTTATATTTAGAGTTTACATTTACTTTGTAAGCATTCGTTAAAACAAAAGTGATAATCCTATAGAAAGGACTTGGGAAAGACGAATTTAGCAAATCTATGTCATCACTCACTAACCTTTTAGATTTCTTTGAGAGTGCTAATACCATCCAAATACAAATGATCCAGTAGTTATTAGTTATTGCTGAGCAAACTTACTGATAATGGAATAAGAGTGAAAGTTCTCTTGCAGATCAATTGATTAAAGAACAGACAGAGGACTGCTGGAATAAATGGGCAGTGCTTAACAGGATATATCAAGAACAGGACCTCCCAAGAACTAGCATAACTTCACTACTTTTTTTTAATTTGCTCACAAATGATCTGGAAACAAGGGGGCTCAATTTGTGGATGACAAAAAATCATTGAGATAAAACAGTGTGGAACAGTAGAAAGTTTCAAAATTTCTGCAAATTGGGGAAAATGAGCAAGACAATGGTAGATGCAGTTCAACATAAACAACTATAAAAGGATTCACATCAGGGTCCAAAACATCTGATTCTGCGCGTACAATAGTGCAGTCTGAGCTGACAATGTGCAACCAATAATAGGATCTGGAAAGATGATGTTCCACAAAAGGTTAGCTGAAAACTGTGTTGTTGTTAAAAAGGCTCACTCCACATTGGGAGCCACCTGGAAAGGATTAAAAAAAATAAAACTACCAATATCATGATCTTTTTATTCAAGTCTATAGTGCCCTTGGAGGAACTCACAGCTCCTGACAATATATACGCATATATGGAAGTCATCAGCCAAGAGTATACAACTTTTGGAGGTTGAATGCTGCATTTCATTTCTGAATGGCATGAAGCCCCACTCAGGGAAACAGCAGAGATGGGAAGAAAAAAGTAGATGAGTCCTGATCAAGCATTACATTTGATTTAATTAAAATGACATTAAATTAATTATACTTAATTGGAGTATTCTTTCTATATTTAATAATTTCCCCCTTTCATTAATTTCAAAGCTGCAATTTGGTGGCAATTTTTGAAAGACGCTTGGGGGCAGATCTAAGAGTCTGAAAATAAATTAATAAATAAATAAATATAAATAAATAAATGAATGAATTTTGGAAGCCACATGCAGTCCTAGGATTTCCAGTTGTGCATCCTTGCTGTGAGGAGATACAATGTCCCATTCATTGACAAAAGGACAACTGCCATACAGGCGTATCTCAAGGAGCTTCAAAGTAAAGCAGAGACTTTAGAGTCATCTACAGAGGTCAACAAATACCCTTGAAATCAGACAGCTCCAGCTACCCATCAAATCTTCCTTGTCAATTATTCAGAAGAGAGCTGAAGTCACCAAGATATCTGAGATGGCTTTGGGGAGTTGCAAAGGCATCGGTAATTTTTGCAGAGTAATTCTCAGGCCTTGGAGGGTGTTTGAAGGATGCACAGACAAAGGCAGGAGCTCTGAAATCCAGGCAGGCAAAAGCTGAAGGTTTGAGCTGAAGATGGGCTTCAGCAACTAGCATGTTCTACATCCAGCACCTAGACAAAGTCACGCCTGCTCTCCTTTGGCCCAGCAGAGGATTCCAAACAGCATCACACTGCCTATAATGCCCTTGACCTCATCTTAATATAACTGAAGGTGCTGTTTCAGCTTTCTGCTGTCACCATTTGAGAAACCTGTCCAAGAAAGAGTCCCACCAGAGGATGCTTGTCTGGGAACTCACACTTCAACGGTCTGGTTCTCTGCCTAAAATTAATAGGAAATCACCTCTTCTCATTCTCTTCCTCTCCTCCCCACTTCTCCTGGTTCTTCTCCTTGTGATCTCCCACTGAATACGGAACATGGCACCATCAAAAGGTTCATGAGAAATACATTGCCCTGCGTTGTCCATCTACAGTATTTTTAATTTATATTGAAATTCAGCATGTGGAACAAACCATTGCTCTTTACTGTAGCTATAGATTTCTATGTAATTCCACCATTGAGGGCTTTTAGTACAACTAATAAAATATGGAAAACGAAAACAAAACAGAAAACATGCATCTCTTCCCCCTTTCCCTCTGTTCATCTTTTTTTAAAAAAAAATAAAAGTAAGAGGAACTGTCCAAAAGGTTGAAAATGAAAGCTGATGGCATCTGGACAGCTCTCTCCTCCCAGAAATTTCACAAACAAGGAACGGTAACTGCACAGTGCAAGCCCCATCTGGAAGCAAGAAGCAAGTAACCGTGTTCAGATGCAACTTCTGAATCACTTTTGTCCCCTGCAGTATTATCCCATTTTAAAATCAAAGGCAAGTTTGCCCTGATTTTCACCTAATTTCTGCAGTATAAAACAACTGAACAGCAATTGCATGAATCTAAGCATAAACAAAACCGAATCCGAGAGCAATGAATGGTATTATGCAAACTTAAAGCAGGTAGGAGTGAAATAAGTCTACTGCAGATGTTATTAAGCAGAATAAGTAAGCAGATACTTTAAATATAGCTTCAACGGACCACTGAATGTCTGTCTACCGGCCTGAGGAAAGGATTACTATGCTTGGTGGCATCTTCTGCAAGCTATTCTAATTCCAGTGTCACAAAACATTTATGTTAATAGCATCGAAACAAGAAGTTTAGTATTTGGGGAAGGAAGCAAACAGTTTGATCTCTGTAAAAGATTTTAGACTTCCACAGCTTTTAACCTTGTACAAGGAATTGTACAATTGCCCTGAAGATTCCTGACATGCCTATTTTCACAACGTACAGCTTGATCTGACAACTTTACTACACAGGAAAAGATTGATTCAAATATAATTCTGACATTCCCTGCAACCTGCAAATGAGAACTGAGTGCAGGAATTTGAAGGTAGGGAGCTCTTGACATAATTCACATAAAATTATCACTGCATGCATAAGACTCACCTTCATGTCATTACTTGAGAGGATATCTCCAAACAGAGCATTACGTCCCTTTGGAACCAACACACACTGCTGTTTCTAACACGAGTGCAGAAAGATTATTAACTTGACAAAGCCTGTCCATGTCTCTACTGAGCTGTCTTAGCATCCTGCCACTCAGAAGGAACCTCCTTTGTCTGAAAGAAGGAGAGAGTTTTCTCTTTGATGGTAACAAACCTCTTCAACGTCCCTTAGGAGTGAAATGCGAGCTTCAGGATCATCAGACGGAAGCAGGATAACCAGTTTCAGAGCGATTTCATTTATTAAATCCCAGCATGATATCGGTGGGTCTAGGTGCCATTTAGAAGATGTAACCTTTCTCCCCCTTTTAAATTTATTTTTTAGAAGATAAAAGGAAGAAAAAGGGAACTGAACAGAAAACACAAACTACAGTGTGTACAACAGGAAAGAACCCAATCAACCCTAGTCCTAACTCTGTTAATTTTACTGTACAGCTTTAAATGGAATGGGCTGATCCACCTCATGGTTTCAAAGAATGTACCACACTTTGGGTGAGATTTTTCCCATCCATACGCGGGTTCTGGGACAATGGGCTCCTTTGCCTTAAGCAGCTAGTCTCATGGTGTTTTATAGAAATTTCCAGTGAGATGAGAAATTCAATCATAGGTCTCCATTTTCTGGTCTTTGACCCTTAGAATGCCAATTCATGGAAGACTGTTTTCATTTCCCGGCTTTGTCTGGCTCCAACATCACAGCGAAGCAAATGCGCTCAGATCTGAGACATGCTTTGCTCTGCCTGACCATTCCTAAACTCTGAATCAGCCACCTCTATTTGCTGGGAACACCCCTCATCCTCTTGGCCTCGGACTAAGATGCACCACTCATGCCAGATGACAGTTGATGAAAATAAATGATTCAGCTTCTGTATTTAATTTCCTGGCTCACATCCAGGCCTGGAGGTTGGAAATCCTCCACTGAGGGCAGGGAAGCATGTTCTGTTGCCATTTGATTTCAGCTGCCTTTCCTTCTCCTTGACTCAGGTACG